ATTTCAGGAACAGCCTGAAACTCCATCTTCTCACTGCTAAGCCCCGCCTTCTTCTCTCCTTGCAGGTTTTCAAAATCACCCGGAGAGGCGTTTTTTAAAAAGAAAAACCCTGCAGGCACCCAGCGACAGTGGCTAGGAGCTAGGAACCCGGAAGTTAATTACTTCCGGGTTCACTGATGAACCGGATCGCAAGAACCGGTGCGAACCGGCAGGAACCCACCCCTGGATAGGAGCAATGTCTGGGCCTTAAGCTAAGACAATAATGAGCCCTGCAAGAATCAGCTAAGTTCATAGCTTCCGTCCCTGATACTGAAGAAGCAAATACCTCTAAATAAGCCTACTGTCTATCCTGTCCTATTCCATAGATATCAGTTTTCTTCCATATTCATTTACACAGTAAATGCTCATAATTGTTGGCAGGAATCCATGGCTCAGGCAGACAATATCAGGTGTACCTTACCCAGTTTTGCTAAAAAAGAAAAAAGTTGGAATCCCCTTGAAGTGGATAGCTCCTTTCCACTTGTTTTGAAAGCAGGGCTAAAAAAAATGTCTAAGATTGCTTCTGGTGGCAGGAAGTATTTTCTTTCCAGTGCTGAGGTCATCCTTATAATTTGTTTGGCCTCAGAAAACCTCTGAGAGAAAAGAAGACTAGAGACATTACTATGTCTGCATAATGAATGGGGATTTATCAAGTTTAATTTGCTTTTGATGGGCTTTAAAGCAAACTCCCATTTGCACAAGCAGTGGGCCTGCATGTTTGTGATGCAAAGCTCCATTAGCGCTGAACCATTCCTACCCACCCGCTTGCCGCCATTGCTGGTGCTGGTCTGCAGAGTTGGAAAGGTTGGACACCACTACCTTAAAGTTTAAAGGAAATCAAGTGCTTTAAGGTGCCAGGTGACTGCTATAAAGTTTAGAATATAAATCTTTCCCCTTAATCCTCCAAAATCCTGATTTCTGGGTCAAAACAGTGCTAGGGGCCACATGTGGCATGTATCCCTGGATTGTACATACTTGAAAGAACCTTACTTCCCCTGCCTGTCTTTGGATATATGCCAGAATATCAAGAGATAGATAACTATTTTGGCCTAAGGCTTCAAGAGAAGAATGCTGCCTTACTGCTCTAGTGACTTCCAAGATAACTACCCAATAAGAAGTGACAATCTGGATATTTCCACTTCCCTGGAAGCTACTACCACAGCGGCTTTCAAGTGACTTCTCATAATTTTTATGCCAGCCCTAAGGATTGCCACAGATTATTTGATGCTACCATTTTTTCCAAAGGCTTCATCTGAAAGAGGCTGGTGGAATGACATCTTTCAAAGAAAAGCTAAGAAATCTCTATCCTAAATTTAGATCTGTTTGGTAAGCAAAGTTACAATGGTTTAATTTTCTGCCTGGAGTGCTTAGTTTTCTAGTAGGAGCACCTTGTAACATCAGCTTTCTTTAATTTCATAAAGTATTTTTTTGCTGTCAGTGTTTAAAAGAAGAAAGCCTTTTATTATGCATGCAGGTCAACAAACATTAAAATTACAGATGGCAGTAACTTTTCCAGACTCTGCACTATGTTCTCCCAACAGATATTTCAGAAATAGAGTCAAACCGATCTTGCTCACCTCAGGATGACAGAAGACTGCCTCACTCTGACGTGGAGTGCCATTCTTCAAATGAAAAGCTAAAGGAAAAATTGAGGTGGGATGTATATCGTACTGTCATTTACTTTTTGTTATGATACAGAATCTTTGATTTGTTCTTAACAGTGTCTGGTTTTTGTATTAAGTGCAAAAGATGAGCCAAACAATAGACTTTCCAAGATGGGAGCAATGCCCACCCCTTTTCGATCCACTGTGGATTCCACAGCTGTTTTAATACCACAGACAAGTAGTCAAGTGAAGTACCAAGATGATCCGCCAGGTTAGTGCTGCTTTCTTTTGAGATCCTTTGAATTCAGTAACAAGACATTTTGGTTTCCATTATGTAGTTACACAATTTGATTAGTGATTAATAGGGCTGAATAATAAGAGTCCACTTTCCTCCTGCTTCAGGCAATTGAATCCTCTAAGCTACTCTCACAAGTTGGAGTCCTTCAATGCAAAAAGCCACAACCAATTAGATCATTTTTAGTGTATTTATTTCTGTTGCGCTATTATTATCATTATCTTATTGTTACCTATGACCACCCACTCCAAAAGACTGTGGGTGGCTTATGGCAGTGGCCCCCAACCTTTTAGGTGCCAGGGACTGGTTCCGTAGAGTGAGGTTTTTCCATGGACCAGGGAGGGTGTGATTTCATGTTCTGACCTAGGCTTCCCAAAAGTACAAAGCCGACTCCTCGTCCCGATAAAATCCCTTTTATGTAGTTTAAAGTGAATTCTTTTCCAGCAAAATCCTGGCCAACAGTCTTTCAAGAGATTTTACAACTACAGACCTTTATCAGGCTTGGAGAGTTGCCAGGCCGATATCTTCCAAATGCCACTCTGTAGCAGACAATACTTGGCAAGAAGTCAGGAACAGATCTTCACTCTAATGAATTGAACTAATTGTCTCTTGAAAACTTTCCTCCCCTTTCGCTCCTCTTTATTCCCTATGGGAGGGGCCATTCACCATCTAACTGTGCCTTTACTCCCAAGTCAACCCCTGTTCCTTAGCTGTTCCCTTATCCTGGCAGCTTTGCGCATGCACACACTAGAAACAGGCTTCAGC